TATATCAATATGTAAATATATGTGTATATATATATATAAAAATATGTTTATATACATATATACATACATATACATATATATATATATATATATATATATATATATATATACACACACATATATACACACATATACATTTATATGTATATATTTATGTATATGTACATACATGCATATATATATATATATATATATATATATATATATATATGTATGTATGTATGTGTTTATGTATGTATATACATACGTATATGCATATACATATTTATATATGTATATACAAACTTATTGACATATATGTATTTATATATGGATATATATGTATATATATAAATATATACATATATATACACAATTGTATACATATATATGTATGTATAATATAGTATTTATATATATGTATAAAAATATACATAAATACGTATATATAAAGAAAGAAATGAGCACACACACATACATACACACACACACACATATACATATATAAATATGAATGGTAAAACACTCTTCCGTATTGATACCCTGGAAGAAAAATCCGTAATACACTATATATATATATATATATATATATATATATATATATATATATATATGATGCGATGGTCCAGTGGTTAGAGCACTGGACTCCGACCTTCGTGGTCCCGATTTCAATTCCCCGTCGCGGCAGTCGTAAAAATGCCTGCGCTCTGACTGCCAGTTCGAGCCTGAGAAAACGACATATCGCCTTGAGAAGTCAAGCGCAGGTGTCGTAGGGGAGGTCGCCGCCGTGGCACAGGTGCTAGCGCGCCGAACCGCGGTTGATTAGGAAAGGCATCCAATCAGGCAAGGGTGACATTGCCATATAACCTCTCAGTAGTGAACTGAGAGAGGCCAATGTCCTGCAGTTCGTCTGTCCTCACCTGCCCCGTATTATTGCGTTGATTCTCCTCTCTCTTTCTTATGCTCCCTCCTCTCCCTTTTCTCTTTAGACCTGAAGGATTTCAGGAGGATTTCGAAACTGCAGTCTCATTTTCAACAAATCTAATTTGTGCATTGTGTTTTTTCTACCATATATATATATACACACACACACATATATATTTATATATACAGACACACAAACTTTGTATGTATGTATATACTTATATCTATATCTCTTTATCTCTCTCACTCTATATATATACACACATTTACTTGTCTACTGTATGTCAATTTCTTTGCAGGTTTCTGTAGCACAGCAATATCGCCTTTTGGATGAAGAACTGGAAAGAGCTCGAGAACCTAGCAAGAAGGAGGAAACAAAACAGTTCATTTTACTCTTTCTTGCATTATACTCATCAAAATATTCACAAAGAGCTACATGTTCTACTCAGAGCTGGCTTGAGTTATATGATGAATTATCCAGGAGCGATGTCATCACAAGAACGGATATAACAGTATGTGAAGATGAAGATTCAGAAACTATTGGTAATGTCATTTACTCTAACCTTATGAAGTTGGTTGATGAGATCCAATCAAAGTACCCTAGGTCTAGTTTACAGCTAAGTAATTCTGAAAATGATATGCAAATTGACACATTCAGTAAAATCCTAGAGAAAGCAATAATCCTTAGTTGTGAAAAGGAGTTCCCATTATTTCTCTATCTCTTGGTGCATGTGGGAGGCCAAAAGGTCAATCAAGAACTTGAAGTGTGTCGGGCATCGCCCTTGCATTACGCCGCTCGGAAGAACAACGCTTCTGCAGCCAGGTACCTCGTCAGTCACGGAGCTTCGGTCGAGGCGAAGGATCGTTTCGGCAACACACCTGCACACTATGCCTGCATGTATGGCCACAGGGATCTCGGGGACTTTTTAAGGACAAATCAGGTAAATAGATGTGGGTTGACAGCTATGGATCTATTAGATGGCTACAAGAACTACTTGAACCTATATGAATTAGACTTAAAATCTCTATCAGACATAGACGTGCGGGAAACAAACACTGTTCCCAAGAAAATAGAAACTCGTTTAAAAGAACTGGAGAGGAAATGGCATGTATATGGCATAGGCAAAGCAATAAATAGAGTCCATGTCAACTATTTACAAGGAGAAGCTAAAAGTATACAAACAGCTGTATTCAACATGGTAAACAGTGTAAAAAATGCAGTTGCAAAGAAAAATCCTTTGTTCAGCGGGGAACTCATGATGCTAGGAAGTTCAGCAGATAATGTAAGACTTTTTTGCCCAGATGAATTTGACTGTAACATTGTATTAAGTAATCTAAATGGTTATCCAAATAAAGGCCTGCACGTCTCATTGGGTAAAATGGAACCAAATTATAGTGGTTGTACGACAAAAATCATTGTGTCATCGACAGACGCCGACATTAGGAATTTTCTCAATGAAAATTGTTTTTTAGACACATTCTACAGCACTGTTAAGGAATGCGTTTCAGACTATGAACCCGAAGATGAAAGAATGGCATTCATTCCACCTGGGGTAAAAAGGACTCAAGTTGGAGTTGGACTCAGCCTTGCCTGGAC